GTTTGGCAAAAGTTTAGAGCTGGCCATAGCCTCCTATATACTGACAAAGCCTGGCAGATCGCCACGAGAAGCGGCCGCCGAAATGGAAAAGGTGGAGCGGCAGACGACGGACGAGAGGAGAGCCACGTGACTGGCGCCCCGCTGCGGTGAGACGCCGAAACACGCTTCTCCCGTGCGAACAAGTGTGTTTCGGGTCCTCGCCGCTGCAAAAGCTGTGCGCTGACGTCCGAGTTCCCCGAAAAATGGCTCTTTGATGCTCTGTGCTACCACATCCTCGTGCTCCAAACCTGCGACCGGACACTTTATGGCTCCGTCGTCGAACTGCCAGGCTTTGTGAGTATAGAGAGTATAGAGGAGTATAGAGGAGGCTACGAGCTGGCTCGTTTAGCGCGTGCTAGAAGGAACGTCGCTGGCTTCACTCTATGTTTGATCACGTGAAGTGACCGGCGAGAGTGACTCGACTTGTGTCCAGTCAGTAAGGAGACGGCAGCTTCATCAACGTTCGGCTAACACTCGTGTTTTTAGTTCCGTCACTGGAGTGAGAGCCGGAAACGGTCTCGACCTGCCACCACAGGTTGGACGGCCACTTTTGTATTTAAAATGTACGAAAAAAGTGACGGCCCGCTACCTAAGGAGTCATTTGCTTTATTAAAAAAATAGTTTTAATGGCGTGATGTGACTGATTGACTACATGTCAGAAGGTCATCATGTGGTAAATGAACGTGACATGATATATAGTTTGTCTCATGAAACTTACCTTTTGCCTCCGTTTCGTGTTTTAGCATGTCGGTCTACGGAGATGCCGTGGTTCCTTGACACTTTTCTTTTTAAACAACGCAAACCTTTTGGGAAAACAGACAGTTGCTTTTTGGCCAGGGCAGACGTTGCATCCTGTCTCCCTTGTACAAGTGTTTAACTTTGTCGACTGCCTTGCACAAGTGTCCAACTCTTCTAACTCTGGCAGCGTAGCTAGTGTCAGGTCCCTGACAACTTTTCGTTGCTCACGTAACCGCAGAAACTAAGCGATGTGCTGGGACGACATAAGCCTGTTGATCATTATGTAGAAAACTCGAGACTGTGGTAAAAGCAGGACCAAGTTTCCCTGCTTTTAACACAGTCTCGGGTTTTCTACATCATGATCAACATCCACCAGCTCGCCTGCGAACTCACTGTCTTTTTATTGGTAAGCCTGTTCATAACTTTAGTGTGCATTACCACATTCACGACCAGTTGTGTTGAAAGGTGCAGTCCCCCTTAATTTAAAGCATCTGTCAGACGATGAACCACTGTATGCATCGTGAGGAAGTGTCTTCTCCAAAACCAAATATCCTCTGCGGTATTCGCACTTGGGTGTTTTCACAGTCACAGACCTTGGCGAAGTATCCAGCTACGTAGGTCAGAATAGGAGTCTTGAACGATAGCGCCGCTAAATCAAAGTGGGTGATGTCGAATGAAAAAGCTAGAACACAAAGAAAAATCCTCTGCGCAGATGACTCGCATGCTAAAACGAACAAAATATCTAAAAAAAAAACACTTTAGAAGTGGTAACTTGATCGTTCTAAAAGCAACTATTATGCCTACCTGAGAATACAAAAAAAAAAAAAAAAGAAATAGTATACCATCGTCCTTCTGTGCATATTAACTATTCGGAAGTACAATAGTGCAAGAATAAAGCAAAAGGCTGCTAAACCAAAATACTTCCGAAGAGCTTGAATACACCTTTGCTCGTCGGTTTGGAGAATATGCGAACCTTCGAATCACCGACATAAGTTCTCTGACACCACGGCACACAGCACCCATAAGGCATTGATCCTCACGCGAAAACACTATTCTGCCCGCCGACGGACGCAGTTATGGAGGCGTCTCGTTTACGCATTTCCAAAGGCTTTCTGCGCTGCCCGATTGCGCGCACCTAACGTCTGGCTTTGGATCTCTTGCGAGCCGCCTGCAGTCTGACAAAGTTGCGTCGTCACGTCGCGTAATCTTCTCTTTTTATTATTCTGTATAAGATTTAGTCGATACAACCAACAGCACCTAGATAAGCAGAAGGCCCCCCGCATCGTCATCGCAGTCAGATCGATCGAGGCCTGAGATTGGCCACGAGTGCTGCGTCAGTGTTCGGCCGGGGCTCGTGTCCAATCATCGCGTCGTAGGTCGGACTCGGGGCACAATAGTCGAGTTAGCGCGATCCGACTCTGAGGACGTTTCATGAAGGGGGAGGCGATGCGGAGGCTTTGATTATTCTCGGTGATGTTCCTACAACCCGGGTCATTCGGAATGCTTCGACAGCTTTGTCGCAAATACTCGGTGGTGAAAACCCTCATGCTGGCTCCGCTCGCTTGGCCATTAGGACCAGTGGCGTATAGGCCGGGCGTCGATTAAAAAATTTAACCCGATTTATTACCACCCTTTAATCGATTAATTAATCGATTCATTGGTTTCGTCCCTTCTCGTGCACAATAGTTTAAAAAAGAGACAAACTTACATTTATTTTTACTTTTGTTGAATGTATGATAAACGGCGCAATGTACAATTTAGGATTTTAAATAAACCTTAAAGTGCAGCTGAGAACAGTCAAAAGACACCCACACTCACAAATTGATAGTTCAGCCGCAGAATTAAAGGGTTCGTTGATATTCTCCGGCAATAGCGAACCCTAGAGCCACTAAATAAGCTACGCTTCAGAGTAACGACACTTGCCCATATTGTGTCTTAAGATCATGGTTACCAGTTATCTGAAGCTTTATCTGAAATCACAGGAAACGCCTTTCCGCCCTCCACAAATGTTTAAACAGTTTGTGACAGAGCAAAGCAATATTGAGTGACCTTCCTAACACCGAATCTAATGCTGAGGAAGTCGCACTTTTGAATAATGACGATCGGCAGTTGCGTCTGCTCTGCATACGAGCCAAAATGGCGGCGCCCACAACAATGCCGGGGAACGGAGTGCCGATACTCTAAGCGCAGCTCATTTAGTGGCTCTAGCGAAGCCCTTTAATTTCTCACAACAGTCTCTGCTGCGCTAAACAGGCATTCGCACGGCGTTGAAGTGGCTGGAATACGTATGACCTTCTAAACTTGTTTGGAGTTACACATATCACCTCTAAAGTTCACTTTAGGTCAAAATTTTACATAAAGTTTACTTTAATACAGGTGTACCCGTCCGCACGTCCGCGTTGTGGAAGCGTTACATTTTCACTTTTTTCTTTTCTTTTTCTGTTAGTCAACATTTGACCGATTAAACGGTTAAAAAATAATCGCGATTAAAGCATTCATTGATGAATCGGTAGGTTAATCGATTAATTGTCCGGCCCTAGTGACGTAGATGACGTACCAAAACGAAGCGCGCAGGCTTCCGTTTCTAGAAGGTGTTGGTTTTACCCACCGGGGCATGGCGCGCATTTGTGACATGCCTCAAAAAAAAAAAAAGTCAATCAGAGGCCCCGGATTCGCCCCATGATTTTACTCCGTGTGGAAGCCACATGCGCTGCCCGTCCATATCCGTCGTCATTCCCTTTTAAAGGGATGCTGAACCGAAATTTGGATTTCGCAAAATAAAGCCGCAGAAGCGTTGAACGCGACGCGGCGAACTCCAAAACATCACTCACACATCGATATCTCGAACTGATGGCAGTATTTTGGGAAAAGAAGGGCGCGACCAAGCGAGGAATCTGACGTCACGATTCTCTTCGAACAGTTGAGAATTAGGGGAAGCGTCCCCATTTCTCTCCTGCTCGCTTCAGTTCCTCAGCTCGAGGAAGCGAGGCGGAGAGGGAATGAGAATCGCGACGTCACGTATGTCTCGTCGGCCTCGTCGGCCGTGTTCAGTCGCGCGCTTCTTTTCCAAAAATACGTCCAACCGTTAGAGATGTCGCCGTATGAGTGATAATATTCGGTTTTGCAGCTTCCCGGCTATCGCTTGAGCCTTGTATCGTGAGCTCCAAATTTTGGTTCAGCGTCCCTTTAAAGGTGTAGCTTTACGGGCGACACTTTGCAGAGATTTCGACGTCGTCGGTTGTCGTCGCCGCGCGTAGAATGGAAAAAACTTTTTCTCGCCCCTCTTGGCGCGGGGAGGTAGAAGTCGAGACTTCCCGTCGGCCGTGCCGCGCGAAGAGAGCGAAAAGGGCAGCCCTGGCGTCCCGCCAAGAATGGCGCGAAGAAGGAAGAATCCTCGTGTCGTCTGCTTGAAATACTTGTTTTCAAACAAGTATTTCAAGACCCACTTTGGCAGTATACAGTTGCTACGCCTAATGCCAGATGGCTTTAGAAACTTCCACAGCGCTTACCCACTTACTTCATGGATCACTCGTGGCAGTCGTCAGTGGCATCCAGGACGTCAACCACAACGGCCATGAGAAGTAACCAAGTCGCACCTCCGTCCTCAGGTACGTGACAGCACCATTCCGCCCGCATTGCGCGACTGTGCTAAAGCTATCATTTTCGTTTCTTCGCATATTGTACGCGAAAAATTCGGCTGTTTTTGGATAGTGCTTTCATTTTCGTAACACTCGATAGTTTTCTGAAAGCTGACTTTTGATAGCATCGATAGTCGACCAAAAGCCAACTATCGAGATTACTATCGATAGTCAACAATCGATAATACTATCGATGGTACCATGGATCGATAATACTATCGAGCATCGATGGTCCCATGAATAGTCAACTATTGATAATACTATTGATAGTCAAGTGTCGATAATAGTATCGACCGGTAGTACTATCGATAGTTTTCGACACTATCGATCGATGTTATCGATAGTCAATTTTCTTATGGTTTTGTATCACTACATATAACATTAAAATGCGAAAGAAAACAAAGCGGCCGAAGTCGCGCGTTCGCGCTAACTGTGCCGCGCTCTGTACCAGCACGACGAAAGCGACGGGGGGAATCACACGCTCACCATCATCAAAAGAGGCGCTTGCGCAAAATTCACGTTCGCCGCGGGAGCTCCGTGAATACACGACGGAGCGAGATCGTGCGTGCAGGCGAGCGCGGTTCCACAGCGGCGGCAGCTATGCCTGCGTGCCCGTCTCCCTCTCGCGCGCGGGCATTTTCTAAGCGTTGGCACTTGTTGCGAATGCGGTTCCCCCGCTCCGCCCACGACGTGCGCCTTTCTTCCTCGACGTGGGCCCCCATCCGCAACACCGCGCTGTCTCCCGTGCCGCCTCTCCTTGACGGTCGCGCGAGGGCCTTCCAACGCGGGAGCGCGTCGCGCGCCCGAGACGACGCGCCGAGGCCGTACGGATGACTCGCCCAAGGCTCGGCGTCCTCGGTCGTCATGGTGAGTAGTTAAACTTTGGTTTGGACCGCGGTCTGATCGTCGTTAGGTAAAATAACTCGAAAGCGCGAACTACTGTTTTCCAGTGTGCAATGACAACGGGTGCGTGCTTGCCACTTCGGCGAGAAAAAGAAAGCACGTGAAAATCGCAGCGACAGTTAGAATGACAGCTGCCAGAAGCCAGATGTGGAACGGTGTATGCCGGATGTTTCTGCGAAGAGTTTGAAAAGTTTCTAAAACCAAGGGGGCGAAAAAAAGAAGCTAGTTGCGGCAACACACTGCCAGCCACGGCGGACATCAGAAATTACAAAAGACATTATTTAAAAATAACTAAAATTGACTTCTTCATTAGTGAAGAGAAACATAAGGTTTCGATGAGAAACTTTATGGGTTAGAGTTACTCGTGCAGCCGACGGAAGGCCGGTGATTCGAAAACGCGGATGATATTCTTTTCATTCGCGTTTTCGCATTTGGGAGAGCCAGTAGCGTTTAATCTCCCAAACTTCTGTTGTTCTTGTTGTAGTTTTATTACGCTTGCATTTATGATTGCTTGAAATGAGGCAACCTGCATGTACGATCGCGCTCAGGGTGATTTTCCTACAGGGCGCGCATGATCACCGTGTCAACGATATGCGTCAAGGTATTGTTGACCATTCAAAGTGGCCGCGGTTGGAAGCTTAGAAGCAAATGGAATAAAGCATTTTCATGCTTTATACGGTTACCATTTCAAAAACATCAGGAAGATGGAGTTGCACCACCTAGTAAGCTTCTAAATAGTTCAGTGTTGGCGAAGATGGGTCAGCCGGTTTGCCGGAAACCTGTAGCTTCTTGTCCAAGAGAGCCATCACGCGAAATGAGCGTCATTATCGTAAACACTGACCTCTGAGGGCCAAACCACGGCATACCGCACCATTCGTCTCTCCGGCCGCCAGAAATTGGCGTGCGCCACATTTTACTGATCGCATACGGGCCTCTTCAATCAATCACGACTGTACAAATAAGCGCGTCTGGTCTCCCGTTCACTTATTTGGCACCACTGGAACTTTTTTCCTACATTTTTATCTTCGTAAATCCTTAATCCCACTTGAGCCGCAAAGAGCAGCGATCGACACCAACCAACCTCAGGCACCTGCAACATGCGTGCGAAGATATATTTGTCAGCGAGCGAGTGATTGCAAGCCTGCCAAAGATACCTTCGCGACATGTGCTTGAGGTCGGTTGCTGTCGGTTGTTTAGGTTCGTCGCTCGAGTGAAACTAGGACATAAGTCTACACTTCATTTCACTTTAACAGCAACTAACCTCAAGGGTTACAAGCGCAATTGCTCCACCTTGTGTTTGATTAAGCATCGCCTACATGAACGTCCGCGCAGCGGAAGCACCAGTCAAAGCTACGCGTTCAAGCTTGTAGTATCTTAGGTTAATACACGTGATACGAAGTATATGGCCTGCAATTAATTGTTTTGCTCGAACAGGTTTCAACACTTGTCCTCTTTTACACCACGAAACCTAAAAGCTTCAAATCTCAAAACGCTCATTTGTAAAAGAAAAAAAAAAAAGAAGCTAGTGATTTTTATTTTTAGTATAATGTTATCCTCTTCTTGGGAATGCACCAGCAAATCAAGAACAACAAAAACAAACAGAAAGACCGTAAACATAAAGGCGCCATATATGTTTGCAGCTCTGATGCAAGCTTTCCAAGCACGCGCCATGCGCCACAGAGTAGCCGACGGCATCTGGTCTGTATCCCGAGATAACTCGTCCAACTTCAAACATCGACATTTGTCGTGAAAACCTGCCGCAGTCTCGACATTTCATTTGACGTACTCAGGGCCGGGCAACCTAATGATGATGATGCTTACTATGATGACGATGGTGGTGGTAGTAACGACAATGACGGTAATATGTATATTTCACCACTTTACGAAATATAAATATTTTTCATTTTATGATATATCTTGAAATTTTTTGTATCGGTAGATTCGATGATTAGAAAATTCAGGTTTCACTGTGTGGAAATGAAGCAGATGCGATTGTGGATAAGAGGCTGTTTCGGGAATAGTCAATCGCTCACTAAGAAATACAAAGCGCAGTCAATGAACGATTGGTGAAAACGTTAACAAGTGTTGCGCAGGTTGAGCAGCTCCATAGGTCCTCGTAAACTTCCGTAGAAAAGTTAAAAATGATGACTCCACGTTCCTATGAACTTGTTTGATCAGGTACACAACCTATATTAATACAGTACGTGTTTCTGCCGGCTTGCGTAAATTCATCACAATGTTGAGTTAGAAAGATGGCAAGAGCAGCGCTTTGATGTCGAGTGGCATGATTACTTCAGCTTAAATTGCATTAGACAGTAACCGAAAAGATACCCGCAAAATTTCCATTACTAGAGAAACAAAATTTCCCTGCCCCCAAAGACATGCCTCGCTAGTCACATCTCGAAAACTGTCCCAAAAATATAGTGTTTTTATTCTAGTAACTGATCCGATCGATTAAAGCTTGTTTAACTAGCCCTTTTTTAATTAATGAGCGACTTCAACAGTAAAGCAACATCGACAACAAAGTAATCTTAGTGGTTAAAGTATTTAGGGCTCAAACCGCTTCGTTCATTTTTCTAATAACTGAACTCGGTTGTGTGCTGAACTAACAGACCTTCTGCATTCAAATAACAAACAAAAAAAATACTTGAGACTGAATGCGATTGAAATATATCAAGGTGTGTCATTCGGGCACATTCACAGGCATTCCTCATGAAAATCAAGGAGATATGTTCAAACTCCTCTGTATAAATGCTGTATATTAAAAAAAAACAAAAAAACAATTCAATTGGCTTTGGAAGTGGTTTGTTTCTCGGAAATGCATTTGTTTATAACTTCGCAGCCATTTGTACGTATTACTCAAAGTTAAAAATAATAGGTCATACCTCAGAAGCTCATCAAAAAAAAAAAAAAAAAAAAAAATGCAGCGCTGATATCACTCAATGGCAGGAAAAGTGTTTTATCGCACTCACATATCAAACACAGGCTTCAGAGCAGCTGCTTGCAGTGACTGCCTATCGAAAACTTTTGGGGTTGTTATTGTCCTTGGGCACATCTAGAGCTGGCTCTTTGAAACGCCTGCTAGCGGTTAGAAAAAATGAATTCGGGTGTTTCATCGATTTTATTTTTGGTTGTGTTAATCTTATCGACTGTCCAATTGTCAAATTGCCAACTGTCCAACTTGATAATTACGAGAAAAAGACTAGCCCAGGCTAGTCTTTTTCTCATTATTAATTTGGGATTCACTTCTTGTCGGGAAACTGCAGCGTATTCCATGACCGCGAAAGATCGGAAGTTGGTAACAACTTGCGAAAGTACACGAGCGGTTATCTGAAGTGTGCAGTAGCTACCCCACATTTCTTCCGGCTTCCGTGTTGGTGTCCTTCTTTGGCCTTTTTTGTTCGTTTAATTTTATTTCACAACAACAACAGGATAAGTTATTTTTAAATCAATCATCATACCCTTCAAGTTAATTTTTTTTTTCGCAAGGGACTATCGACTGAACATTGCCTCCACAAAACAAAAATAAATAATATTAAAATAATTTGAAGAAAAGTGTATTACTCTTGGAGTTTCCCTCGACTTTACCCAAGCCTTATATTAACTTCACCACACTACTCTGCTTAATAATTAAAAAAAAAATAATGAGCCAGTCCACTTATGGCGAATTCCATGGGCGTTTTGGAGCGCGCCGGGATCAGTTGACCAGATCCGAAATGGAGCACACGATCCGAACGGGGTTCGCGCCGCCTACGGATCCCCAGTGGAATATGACCACTGCTCCGGGATCGGCGGATGCCTTCCCGTCATTCACCTGTTCGGGAATCCCCTTTCCGCGGCCGCCGTGGTCGTTTCGAAGACGTTTTCGTAATCGCGGCGCTAACACGTGTTCGACGCACGAGCGGCAGGAGTGGCTCAGGAGCTTCTAGCAAAGATTGCCGGAATGCCCGTAGCGCAGCCCAAAACCTTCTCTTCTCCTTCCTGGAAAACAAACTGGCTGTCAAACCAAGGGGTAAGGAAGCGGCCATGCGGCCATTCGAGATGGGCGAGATCAGGCGAGATGCCCCGCGAGAAAGGGAGTCACGTGTGTGCGCCGAGGGCTGGCCCGGCTGGATTCCGGTTGAATCCGCCGAAATTGTCGGAGCGCCTTTTCTCTGATCCAGATCGAGATCTGGAGCGGGAGCTAATCCAAAACAACCAGTGGAACACGTCCATCTCGATCCCGATCGCCCAGTGAAATGGGCTCGCTCCGGAAAAGTCGATCCCGGCGCGCTCCAAAACGACCAGTGGAATTCGCATTAGTGAAGGTAGATGACCAGTGAAGCTGTTTAACACACAGACGTGACACAGAATTTTGAACAAAAATACGAACTCATTTATAGTCTTGATCGGTGGTCATCGTGACGAAAGGTACGCACACACATGTCGACGACTACCACCGCCCCGTGGAGCCGGAAGAAACTAGACACACGCGACGGGACCGCCACCCGGCGGAAGGAAATGATACTAGGCACGAAAGCGCTTGGAACGTAGACGAAGAGTGGGCGGTGCGAGCCCTCTCTGATATTTTGTTGACGCACACGAAAGCTCCACGAAACTCTAGCCATAAACAGCTTTGCTGTAAAAGCGATAACATTTTACATTGTTTTGTACTGCGCAAACGATACTTTATCAAACTGCCCAGGAAATGCAGTAAAAGTTTTATATGAATATTTTTATTGAAACCCTTTCTTCTGTAGTGACTGAGAGCTTAAGCAACGCAGTGTGTGGCGTGCTTTCTGAGCATCTCAATATCACTCCCTAGCGAATCAGATTGCGGCATCTGTAATATTTACTTTGTATGGTTATTATTGAACGCTACACCTTTTGTAGATATATCTGTATTTGTGTGTGTAAACATTCAGTCTCTTCTTTTTTTTCTTTTTTGTTTCAAGGTTAATTTTTTATGTACTGTTTTTTTTCCC